TCGGACCCTCAGGCGGAGTGGCGGGTGCCGGACCCCCAGGCGGAACGACAGGTCTCAGGCCCCCAGGCGGGGCGGCGGGCACCGAGTCACCAGGCACAACCGTGGGCTCCGAGTCAACTGGGATGACCGCTGGCACTGGGTCAGACATTGGATCGTCTGGCTGGACAGCGGGCATCGGGTCACCAGGCATCAGGTCATTTGGCTCGACAGCGGGCACCGCGTCATCTGGCAAGGCAGTGGGCTCCGAGTCAACAGGCACGACAGTGAGCACCGGGTCATCAGGTACCGGATTGTCTGGCTCGACAGCGGGCATCGGGTCACCAGGTATGACAGCGGGCACTGGGGTCACCAGGCATCAGGTCATTTGGCTCGACAGCGGGCACCGGATCAGGTACCGGATCATCTGGATCAACAGCGGGCATCGAGTCAACTGGCCTAATAGGATCGTCAGGCTGGATCAGTTCATCATGCTGGGTAGAGGCATCAGGCCGAGTAGAGGCTTCAGGCCGAGTAGAGGCATCAGGCCGAGTAGAGGCTTCAGGCCGAGTAGAGGCTTCAGGCCGAGTAGAGGCTTCAGGCCGAGTAGAGGCTTCAGGCCGAGTAGAGGCTTAGAGTAGAGGCATCAGGCCGAGTAGAGGCTTCAGGCCGAGTAGAGGCTTCAGGCCGAGTAGAGGCTTCAGGCCGAGTAGAGGCATCAGGCCGAGTAGAGGCTTCAGGCCGAGTAGAGGCATCAGGCCGAGTAGAGGCTTCAGGCTGAACCACGGAAGGCAGGCTCACCGGTTTGGATACTGGCAGGATGGTATTGGTTGGAAAGGAATTTTCGCTTTTTTCTGGTTTTAACTACTGGAGCACTGCAAGTAAACGCAGGTCTGCAAACGTGTAGATAGCAGGGCAGGAGGAGCTGTTGGGAATGCAGGAATAGAGTTTTGAGGAAATAGATTAGAAGCAGGACTGGGTCTTTGTAAGCTGACTGAGGCTGGGGAATGCAACAAATCTGTCCATGTCTGCAGTATGGGTTGAACAAAGCTGAGCTTACACAAAGCCTGTCTGGTCAATGACTGTACTGCGTTTATACAATCTCTTAGTGTCTGTGGTGAACATGTTTTGGTTAACGCTCCATGAAAGTAACCCACATCATCCTTAATAACCACACCAGGGACTCTACCTGGTCTGCACTAAATGGTGGCAAAAATTCATCCGTGCATTCGGGGGGGAACCAGATGAAACCAACTCAGCACAAACCTCAATCAAAGGCTGCATTTGAACTCTGTGTTTGATCTAACTTTAAGCCCTGAAAGTACTTGTGGTTATTATGAGCGGTGTATACATTCTAGCAGTTCATCCCGGGTATACTCCTTCAGAGTTTGATAAGCATACTCCCTGTCATCAAACACTAGCAGATATAAATATTCAACCTCATCCAGATCCATCCTTCCCATCAACAAGCCAAGATGGCTTCCCTGTGCAGCCACTTCTGGTCAGGATTGGCCTTGGTGTAATGTCAGGGCTCCCAGGTATGACCAGAGGTGTGTGACTGATGCAGGGAAACGCAGACTTCAGATATGTGATAAACAATACAATTTATTAACACTAACCATACAAACATAAACGCAGTGCAATACTAAACATAATACAGTGCAAACAAACCAAACCACCCACAGATAACAGTACATACAAGCAAGCGTCGTCAGGCAGGCCGGGTCAATATCAATTGGGCAGGTAGGTACAGGGGGAGCAAGCAGAGAATGGTCGGGGTCACAGGCCAGGTTCAGCAGGTAGCAAGCAGCGTAGTACAGAGGGTCAAGCAGAGGGATGGTCAGGGTCACAAGCCAGGGATCAGGACAGGGTAGCAGAGAATCAGACAGGAACAGAGAGCAGGAACAGGATACAGGGCCCAAGAGAAACACAACACCAAGGCAGAGTCTGTGGGTCTGGCCATCCCTTAAATACCCCAGCATCATCAGTTCCAGGTGTTAGCTGGCTGAAAGGTTGAGTCTCTGATTGCTGGGAGCACCCGCTGGCCAGCCCTGGTACTGCAGATCAAAAGGCAGGTGAGTCCCACCATTGCTGGCCAGTCCATTCCTAACACGTAGTCACACTCAAGTCCTAAAAGTTGCACATCACAGCAAAACCCTGTAAGGAGGTGTATGACAGCCTCAGCCCGGGTCCAACCAGGTCATGCCCCAGCGCGTTTCACTTCGCCCCAATGCAGATATAAATATCACACTCTCTTGCTTGCTGCCAAGATGGACTAGGGACCATAGTCCATAGTCTATCTCAGGAGTGAGCAACAGGAGGTGGCTACATTTCTACATACCGTGAGACCATGAAGAAAAAAAGTAGCCACCCTCTAAAAGGAAGTCGGATCACAGCAGCACAGCAAAAGTTGGAGATTTGGGAGTAGGCTGAGAGCAATAGAAGGGACACTTTTTAGGAATGGATACATTATTCTATAAATATATAATAATTAATAAAAATATTAATAGTTTTTTTTTTTCTTTATTTATTTAGAGTTTAGTGTCAATTTAATGAGCAATTAACCCTTTAGTGCAGGGTCAGCCCCACTGCAAGGGAGCATTTTTACTTTCCCTGGCATTCAGCTTTAAGCTGACACAATTGATCATAATACTTACTGAACTAAAGCATAATTGTGTGCCGTATTCTGTACTGCAAAGATGCCTGTAGCACCAAAGCATCTTATCCAGTACCCTATCAGTTAGAGGAGGCCAGCAGTCTCAGTCAGGGCTGCTGTTAGAAACCACAGGGCCCCATAAAGCTGACCTGACAGGGCCCCCCGCACCAAAAAAAAAAGGCAGAGTTTACGATGCTTCAGTTATGAATGAAGACAGTGAGTGATCAGAACCCAGCTTTCATTTTGTTCATTCAGGAAAGAAAGGGGCTTGTAAATGTGACATATTTACCAAACCCATCCCCCACTCTTGATTCTGAAGGATCCTATCGCGTGCTTGCAGCTGCTGGTGGGAAGCAGAGGAGGGAAGTCGGCAGCACTGCAGGGGGGGTGGAGGCACACGGGGGGAGCCTGGGCAGCAGAGGGAAACATATAGTGCAAAAGGAGGGTGATGGGTGCAGCAGAGAGGGAGCAATTACTGGAACCGGTCCCCTGTATGACCATCTCTGCAGCAGCTGGAAGGGAGAGGAGATGAACCCAGCTTTCAGCTGCTGCAGGAAGAGCCATACAGGGGATCGGTTCCAGTAATTCGTGCTGATCACCCTCCGCGCCCACATCCAATTATCCCCCCTGCTGGCCTGGGCCCGTACCGTACAGTCGGACTGGTGGTACTCCCTTATCCACAGCTGGTCTTAGCAATTATAACTGTCTGCCCTGACTTACTGACCTCTCTGCCATTATATGCTGAATGTAAAGAGATACAGATATGGCCTTGATCACACGATCATGCTTAAATGTACACCCGTATCAGGTCAATGTTTGCTCACACAGGAATGCACAGGTGATCCATGATCCCTGTGCAGGAAGTCCCATTTATGTCGATTGGGATGCAGCAGCTATACAGACACAGCTGCTGCTCCCAATTTGATAGCCATGGGGTGCATGTCATGAAATGTATATGTCTGCACCCAGGAACATGCAGGTACACACCCACATGCACAAGGATGTCAAATTGGAAGCAGCGGCTGTGTCCATGCAGTCTCAATTGGCATGAATAGGACTGTCTGTGCAGGGATATACAAAACACCTGTACACCCCCATGTGAGCAAGCATGGCCCTCACACGGGCGTACACTTATAGTGATACTAAACCTAAAAATATTTTTTACTTTAATACATTACATTAACCTCTTCATGCCTAAGGGTAAAACAAATCTTAAAGCCTAAGTAAAACTTTACAACTTTGTTAGTAAAACCATACATATCATCACAACTACTTTGTACATCCAGGTGAATTATACTGCGGTTTTTTTTTCAGGACAAAATTGGACTTTCATTTGGTGGTAAATGGTAATGGATATCTCCTGATTTTTTTTTTTTTGTATTATCAAAGGAAAACTGGCCCAAAATAGTAAAAAAAAAAAATATATTTTTTAAATGTAGCTGTGTATTTCTTATTACTACCATAACCTACCACCAAAGAACAACCCAAAATAAATTTTCCAGCTCTTGACGATCGCAGCGATACCGTATATGTGTATGTTACTTGTTGTTTGTACCTGTACTACAGCCCAGAAACAATAGTGCGCATTTTGTTTTTTTTTTTTTTTTTTTACCTAAAACACACTGACACTGATGCTAACTGACACTGATATCAAAATAAAAAAAAAAATCCTGACCTTTGATCTTGACCTTTGACCCTGACCTTGACCCAAACACTAAACCCTGGCACTGAACTAGATCGAACCTTGATCTATGTTTTTTTTCATTTTTTCTTTATTTTTTAATATTTATTTATTTATTTATATATTATTTTTTTTTTTTTGTACAAACAGTTTTTTTTTTCTCTCTGCAAGGAGATAGAAAGATACAATGTATCTCTCTCCTCCATTCAGAAAGTAAAAAACCCAAGGGGCGCGGGCTATACAGTGACTGATCACTGTGATAGTCAATCAGAGGCTATCACAGTGATCATGTGACCCAAAATCGGGAGTCCTGGGTCCGATCGTTAGAACAGAACCCGAGGCTCTCAGTGACACTGCGGTCTTTGTGCTGGGAGCGCTCTGTGCAGCGCACTCCCAGCGCAAAGACATGTACACAAATATGCGGCCCCATGGAAAAAAGGCCAGTTCTGTGAGGCCGCATATTTGTGTGACATCGGCGTGAAGGGGTTAAGGTAAAAAATGTTTTCAGTGTCCCTGTTTTTTCCCCCTTCCCTGTGCAAAGGGTAGGAGAGGAGAGATCAGTGCTGTACATGGCTGCATCTCTTCTCCTTTCTCTTCCTCCTCTCATAGGTTCTTGAACAGCAGCAGAGGCCATTGGCTCTTGCTGCTGTCAATCAAATGCAGTGAAAAGGAAGTGTGTGTGTGTGGGGGGGGGCTAAGTTCTGCTGTGTGTGGTTATGGAGCTGCGCTCCATAGACACACGTCGGGAGTAAGCATGCAGCATGTGGCAACGGCTTGCTTTTGAGACACACAAATTAGAGGAGGAGCAAAGCTGGCAGGGGACCCAAGAAGAGCAGGATTGGGGACGCTCTGTGCAATACCATTAATTATTTAATAAACTTTATGTGGTTTGTCACCGTTATACAGGCGTGCGCAATTATAAAGCATGACATGTTTGGTATCTATTTACTCTGCGTAACATCTTCTTTTAAATATTACCAAACAAATGGGTGCTATACTGTGTTTTTGTCCATAAAACTGAAAAAAAAGTGTATTTTTTTTCCAAAAAATTGAGCTTGAAAAAACTGCTGCGCAAATACCATGTGACATAAAAATTGCAACACCCACCATTTTATTCTTTAGGGCCTGTTCTTTTAAAAATACATTACATTGCCAAAAGTATTGGGCTATCTGCCTTTACACGCACATGAACTTTAATGGCATCCCTGTCTTACAAGGTTTAGGAGTGTGTCTATGGGAAGGTTTGACCATTCTTCCAGAAGCACATTTGTGAGGTCAGGCACTGATGTCGGAAGAGAAGGCCTGTGTTGCAGACTCCGCTCTAATCCATCCCAAAGGTGTTCTGTTGGGTTGAGCTCAGGGCTCTGTACACGCCAGTCAAGTTCCCCCATCCCAAACTCGCTCCTCCATGTCTTTATGGACCTTGCTTTGCAGTC